AGCAGGTATCATTTAATCTTGTGCCATCTGGCACTTTAAAAGAGGAGTAAGGAAAAAGGGAAATGCTCAGGAAAGGAACAGAGACAACCACCAAGCTGTATAATTCTTCAGTCTTAGAATAAAAACAAAACTGCACTTTCATTCCCAAAATGCTTTATTGCTTTGATTAAATGCCAAATGACCTTAATCTGTCCAGGTTCCTTGCCATTAAAATGTATGTCCACCATATTCATCATTGTGTTGTTTAGTAGCTCTCCAAAGAGAAAGTCATTACATCTAAACTCCTGGTTACAAAGGCATAAAACCAGAAATGATACAAAGGTTAGGCCTGTCCCTCATGTAATGTTTCCTTTCCTTTGTATTGTTGAAGGAGAATATTGATGAAGCAAATGTTGATGAAAGGAAAAGTGCAGCCATAACTTATCCTATAATGAGAAACGGAGAAAAAGATGTCATTGTCAGGACTTTCTGAATTTGTCAGCTGCCAGGTTCTAGTTTCACACTCATTTTATCAGACCGGGGGTGGGTGGGTGTAGAAATAGGGATAGAGATACTCAAAGGATAGGAGATTTCCATGCTCTCCTCTAAAATATAATAGACAACACCGTAGAAATGATTTACTTTTCACCATGTGAACTGCAGCCAAAGGAGATTATTCCCTAATTTAAATGACATATTGATTCCATGATTTACTGAAATCATGTTTTGCCTTTTGGATGGCTGCTTTGATCAGTTACCTGTGATGATAATAACTGGTTTTTTTTGTTTTGTTTATTTTAAACACATAAACACATCAACAAAAACAAACACATAACTTAAAAACAACATAGGAACAATAAATTCCATCGTATATCATACAGCAGTTCCGAATCGGTTTCTTTGCAGTTAGTGTTTTCCCTACTATACAATTCTAGTACATTTCATAATCTCCTTATTCGTTATCCATTTGTATGTACATTTCTTTATTTATTTAAACTTAGCTATTTATAACCAAATATTGTTTACCG